CGACCATTCTAACTTCTACACCTCTTAAGGACCTATTGCAAGAAAAAGAATTTAAGAAGAATGAAAAACTGGAGAAGAATAAAGGTAAGACGAATAAAAGAAAAGGTTTAAAGGACGCTAAGAGAAACATAATAGACTCGCTTGATAAAAGTAGTATTGAAGAACCAAAGATAGCAGACATCACTACCCGGAAAAAACTTCGAACAAAATTAAGCAAAAAACAAACAGAGTCGTCCTCGGGATCTGATATTGATATGGAAATCTGTAGTGATAGCGAAAATTATGAAACAGATTTAAATGTTTGCCTTGTGTGCAATGATTATGGACCAAATAGTGAAGTTTGGTATAGATGTACAACATGTGGACAATGGGCACATCAGTTATGTTCCGGGAAGGATACACCGAGGGGATATATTTGTGATTTTTGTGTATGACCGGTATTGCCCATGCCCATGACCGGTAATACCCACAGGTCAGGACAATTCCGGTCAATGACAAGTTTTTCAAATTGAGTGTTTTATATTACAAAATGTCAGTTTTTTCTTTTCAATTGTGTTCAATTACATAGAATAAATGTTACTTTATCTTTTGCTTTCATTATAATAATTATAGGTTTTGTATTTTCACTTTAATGCTCAAATATCGTTAACTGACCGGCATTACCCCATCTTACCCTACTGTTTCTGGTATCTGTATGACCCTGGCAATGTTTCTACTTATAATATCAAAGTTAGCAAAGGCACTTAATTTTGATCATAACGTATGTTATAAGAAATGAAGGTTTCAGAAAGGATTAACTCAGTGGAGTATTATCCGTAAGGCAAACTAGCCACGTGTCTAGGGGCGCAACGCTACGAAGTGGCGTGTCAGCAGTCATTAAAAATTGTGTGCTAGGGGGCGCCTGTGAGGTGTTTGCGTAAGGAGCTCTCCATGTTCAATCCGCCTATGAATTACCTTGTTTTCAAGTTACAAGCCGTGAGTTATTAATCGAAATATGTTTTTGTATGTTTTTGCAATTCTTGTGAATTGCAAAACCATACAAATCTATTACTTAGCAAATATTCAATATTTTCCATAATGCTAACTGATTTCATGAGGTTTAAAAATCAATTTCAAAAATGAAAATACTTGGGCTTATCGCTGATAAACGTTTTGTTTTTCATTAGAGAACTACTTATCATACTTCGAATTTCAACTATTGCCACATAACATCAAGTACTAGTTGTATTCGGTGCATAAAAGAATCGAATTATCAGTTGAAAATTGATCGCTATTATGGAGTGTGCTAATCGTATTCAAGTTTTGGACAAAAATGACGATGTCTATTCGGTCATCAAGAAGATCACAGAAGAAGGCGGCCTAGACGAATCTTTTTATGTATGCGATGTCAGCGAACTTGTGTGGAAATGCAACAACTGGAAAAAACTCATACCCAGAATTGAACCGTATTACGGTAAGCCACCAAAATATATCTTTTCTCAAACTGGTGTTCTTGGTCAAGGGCATTGTCTGTGACGTGAAGTCAAACAGAGGTTTCATTCGTCGATTCTTATATGATAATCTAGAAATATCGGTTATTGAGGTCGAAATGTATTTTGTACCATATTTAAAAGTTATCACAAAAACGTTTGTGCTGGAATCGGCCGATACTTGATGAAAATCCATAACATATTCAAGCAACACTTCATTGTGAGGTTTTCACTGAACAGTTTTACAAAAACGTAACACGTGTTTCGCTAGACAATAGCTTCTTCAAACGCTCTTACACGCCTGAATAAGAAAGGCAAAACAGGAGTCTTGGAGGAAATTCTGTGAGAGTATCTCTGATTTACCTCGCAGTACAAAAATTCATAAGATTCTCTCTAGAGAGCTGACTGCTGAAATTGGGTCGCTTAAACGACCCGATGGAGCATTCACCTCTATTAAAGAAACGTTAAAGCTTCTGGTAGAAAACCACTTTCCTAGAAACCTGACTCTTGATAACAACAGACCTCCCATCTTCGAGGGTGCTAAACGTCCAAAAAAGAACGAATGGGAGGTCGTCAAAAAGGTTATCACAGCACCGGCAGTTGAATAGGCTATCAAGTCGTTTCAGCCCTTCAAATCTTCTGGAAAGGATGGTATATTTCCAGTTTTTTTTCAAAACGTACTGGAAATGATTTCACCTATTCTCATAAAATTGTATAGAGCTAGTCTGGCAGCAGGAGTGGTATATATACCTAAAGTGGGCCGGAAAGACCCACACCCGAAATTGGTATGACCAATCAGCCTTACATCCTTCCTGTTGAAAAGACTTGAGATGGTACTGGACGAACACATGACATTATATGCATCCCTCTGAATAACCACCAGTATGCTTATCAAACCGGCAAATCGACAGATTTAGCATTAAACAACCTTGTAGAGAAAATTGACAACAAGAGATTGCGGTTGAAGTGTTTCTCGATTTTAAAGGAGTATTTAACAATACACTACCTGAATCTATAGGATCATCTCTGCCTAGGAAAGGTATAGAATCGATCATAACTGGCTGGATCTATGCCATGCTAGTAAACAGAACTGCAACTACGACTCGTCAAGGCGAGGCCATTGGGTTCAGGGTCACCAGGTGGGATACTATCTCCTCTTCTGTGGTCGCTCCTGATGGATAATCTGCTTGATGCCCTCGACAGAAAAAAGGCAACGTCGAAAAGGGTACCTCCAAATCACAATGGACGTTGTTCACAGTTGGTGACTGAGGGAGCAGATATTTGTCAACCCCAGCAAAACTATGATAATTTCGTTCATCAGGAGGAGAAAATTAGACAATTTAACGCCACTTTCCGTCAATGGAGAGGTCATTCCATTTCAAACGGAGGTGAAATATTTTAGAATTGTCCTTGATGAAAAACACATCTGCAACGCTCACACAAAGCCAGACTGTCCCTATGGACATGGTAAAACTTGGGGCTTAGGTTTCAAACAAATCCATTGGATTTATGTGATGATTGTCAGACCAATGATCACTAATGGATTAATTGCCTGGTGGCCGAAGACTTTACAGAAAACGCTCAGACGAAACTCTCTAGCTTACAAAGACAGGCTTTTCTGGCCATCAGTGGTGCCATCAGTACCATACCGTCAGCGGCCATGGAGAACCTTCTAGATCTACTTCCTCTTCACATTTTTCTGGGAAGACAGGCTAGATGGACTGCATATAGACTTGTGCACATTACCAATTGCACAAATAAATTTAATGCAGAGTGCAACACACTGTTGATTGACACTGAAAGTCACAGCATTCTGGAAATGACCTCTGACTTTATGACTCCAACTGTCAACTACGAACTGCCTTATAAAATATTGTTCCCGAGTAGAGAGGACTGGATCCTCCATGAAAAGAAAATATTAAGAGCAGATAGTTGTTGATTTATAGATGAATCAAAAACACCTTCAGGTTCTGGTGCAGGTGTTTTCAGTCGCAGATCCAGGACAGAGACATCAACCTGCCTCTTGGCTCTTGGTTCCTACCGAGCATAGCCTAAATTGGCAGCAAATTGCCAAAAACGACTCTCCTCGATAGGAAGACTCAACAGATTTTCTCTGGTCTGGATTCTAGGCAGCTTCATAAGCCAGAACCTATCATTGGCATCGCTTTAGGCTTTTCCAAACAAACATCGAACACTTGGATGGCAAGAAGATTCATGGACTTCTGGTAGAATTTTCCAGGATTGGCTCACTCCGTGGCGTTTATTCACCCTTCGAAGCTTGATACCAAACAGTTGTTGGACTATACTAGGGATGAACTACGATGTGTAACAAGCCTTCTCACAGTTCACTGTCATTTGAACCATCATATGCAGAGACTCTGACTGTCGGAAGACAATGTGTGTCGCCTGTGTTTGGAAAATGAAACAGCGGATCACATACTTTGTGCCTGCCCCGCTGGGGGCCGAATCAGGTTTTTAGAGTTTGGCATAGCCATACTCTTACCATCTGACCTGAAAGACCACTCCCCATACAAATTAATCGGCTTCAGTAAAAAGCTGGGTTTATTTGATCTAGTGTAAATAGGCGTGAGCCACAATGAACCTATGCAGGTTGTGGTAGAGGGTCGAAAAGACCCACTCACTTTCGACCTAACCTAACCTAATCATCGCTCTCTGGTGGTCAGGGTAGGTACTATAAATTTCAGGATTCACTAAAATCGTTCTTTGTATATTGACTATTAGCACGATAGATTATATACAAAGGTACTTTGAGCTTCTGTGAACTTGGTATTGACACATCGAGGAAACTAAAAGGATATTCACGAACCAATCTCTGTTTTGCAGCTGTGAAATGTAACGACAGCAGAATCGTCCTTCAAACAATGGCAGCCTTGGGCACAGGATTCGACTGTGCCTCGAGGGAGGAAATAAGAAGGGTACTTTCATTAGGAGTCAAACCGAACAAGATCGTTTTCGCCAATCCTACCAAGAAGATCAGCCATATCATCTACGCTGCTGAAATGGGTATATCTGCGATGACCTTCGACAATGAATTTGAACTATATAAAATAAAGAAACACTATCCCGGCGCAGAGTAAGTGATATTGAATGTATTGGATTCAGTCAATGACTCACAAAATTAAAAATAGAATACAGAGCGGCAGAAGTAAAGATTCGAAACCTTACGTTAGGGACTTGAACACAGACACATTGTTTTTTCAATGTCAGATATGTATCTGATAGTTGTCTTAGATGATGAGTCATTTCATTTGATGAATCATGTCAAAAATCTTACTGAAATGTTATCTGAGCTTTNTGAAGGTAAAAAGAGACATTCGGAAAGAGTTGATAATCCAACAAAAATATTTCTAGACACTATAACTTTGAGGACGTAATTATTCACCCAAATTTAAATCAACAATAAATTAGCATTGCATTTATATTAAGTATTAAGAATTACGACATGATTTAATTCCGCTAAAATATTAACAAATATGTCCGACAAAGACGGCATAGAACCAAAGAGTACAGAACGACAAAACACAAGATTACATTGAATGCTCGCAAAAGAATGCGCAAAGGTCGAAAAATCAACTTTTACGTTAAGAAGCTGAAAGCTGAACTACTGTTAATGAAATGTTGAAATAATTTATGCTGCATGAAATCAAATATGCGAAAGCAAGATGGAGAAGTAGAAAACCTTTCTTCACCAAAAGTAAATATCTCCCAAAAATAAAGCCCTTTCAATTTAAACAAGATTCCTATTGTTGGGATTGAATCAAATAAACGAATTAAAGTCATTATGTACTGTCTTCTATGCCATGAGTAGATTTATCAAGTCGTAACTTTATGAATAAATTGAGAGCTTCATCTTGTAATGTTATCCAGATTGGTGATGAAGAGGCAATATAAGGCAAGTGTTTTATTCCGAAACATCGGATTTTCTCCATTAAGAATGACACTGTTCCATAAAAGTGGAATTTTACCTCTTTCATGTACTATAATATATTGTGTAGCAATTCTGTGAATGGTATCTGATTCAATTTCATAACGAATGTTTGGAATACAAACTGAATACAAAAAAGTGTTTTTTGTATTATTCAATGTTAATATTGTAATTGTTTCGAAGGTATTTTTTTCGTGTAATTCAATATTTATATTAAAATAGTTTCTAGATGGGTTTTTTCTAGTTTGTGCCTAAAAGTTACTTTTTTGCATGATCTTTGTGAAGAGTTTCTTCTGAAATTAATTGCTTCCTTTAATTTTTTCCGGAAGATTCACACATATTTCTGTACGAATACTTATGGAGAATTAGAAATCCAAAACCTCTTTTTTCCAAAAATTAATCTCTACTGAAAATATAACCCTTTCAATTTAAACAATATTTCAACTTTTAAGTGATAATGCTAATGGTTTCCACCCTTTCATTCTTTTTGCCTTCCACAAAACAAGTTGAAGTTTAAATTTTTCTAGAGATGAAACAGAGAAAAATATCGAGCTGACAACTTGCTGAATTGCATTTGACGCACATGTTATGCAGAGGTGAACGTTTCAGAATATTTGTTCGTGGTGCTGGTAGAAAAAAAGGATTATCCACTCTAGAGGTTGGTCTAGGTACATTGAAATTGAGTTTTTGCAGAATATATATGGATCAATAATTAAATCATTATTCAGTTTAAAAAGAAAAATTGTGGAGTGACAATCACGAAGATATTCATAGCATATCTAGCTAACAATGCATCATGGGAAAATCCAATTGATGGATAGATGTTGTGTGATCTATAGGAAACGACATTGTACTAATTCAAATTTATCTGTATAAAGTGATGAGATGGAATCCAGATTATGGATGCACATTCTAATTTCGATCTGACGAAAGCATAGTATAAGCAAAGACTACAGAATACTATAAGACGTGTCACTCGCTCATTTTTCGACATCTGAGAAATCTCGCCGCCCGCTAGCGACAGCGGGTAATTACCAGCCGAGGTAGTACAGTGTGTCGCTTGAAGTTACCAGTTCTCGTCGGCACACGAGATATAAAGGTTGTCCGTATTGTTTGGTATTGTCAAAGACTACAGAATCGGTAAACTTTGGTATTGTGATTGTGTTGTGTTCGTTCGGAGTTCGAAATATTTATTTTGTGAAAATGTCGACGTATTGCTCAGTGGATGGTTGTCTGAGTACGGTGGGAAGCCCAGGTATTTCGTTTTTCCGCTGCCCAAAGTACAGTGAAAGGTATGCATTCAATATATTCACCATTAATTTTTATTTTACCTATCTATACCTTTTATGGTTTTGTTGTATAAAATTATTCATAACGAAATATACCGCCGGCATTTGCCAATCCAAACTCATTTCAATCTTTTTTCAAAATGTTCAGTTTATCGATTGATATACTTGAATTTTTTTTTAGGTGTCAACGTTGGAAAAATGTATTAGGCTTCATTGGGAATCATAGATATGCTACTCTTACCCCAGAGCAGAGTCACAATAGAATTAAAATTTGCAGCTTACATTTTAGAGCCGATGATATTGTGAATTCTCGTATTCATAGCTATGATNATACTTTACTTTAAAATTCATGAACCAGGACATGAAGATTGTTAGGAAACATAAATCATGCAATGTAAAATTGAATATTTTAAATCATTTATAAACATATAACATTATATAATTGTATTATTTTTGTTAATAAAACATGTTTTTCTGAATGTATGTTTATCATTTCATCAGTAAATCACTCTGATCTGTTTCTTAGATCATTTATTCATGAGTTTATCTATCATGTTTCTAGAAGTTGATCGACAAACAACTACTTTCGTATCTTTGTTTATCTGTCTGATACAACCGAGCAAGCGAAGTTTCAACTTCGGAACGTCCCCTGTAGATATCGCGAATAGGAACTGCCCTCGTATAACTGTCATGCGGCCGGCGGCTTCCAGACATCGTCTGTCGGCGATATGATTTATGGAAATCGCAAAAAATGCAATCCTGAGCCGTACCGACAAACGAATTCCTTGGAGTGAACCAACTTATAGTATTCGGTAAACTTTGGTATAAGGTTTTCGATGTAGATAGATTCGAGAAATCTCTGGAGATGAATCGATGAATCCATCGTTTATTAAATATTGATATGAAAGTGACCGATTTTTAAGTGTGTATGTCAACACCATTGCTCAACACGTTTCAGATTGAGGGAGAGTTGAAGACAGTCCTCGATACCATTGATCTCACAATATAATTTCAGGTCATCCGCATATATCAAACAGTTGATGTCAATGATCTCAACTATGTTGTTTATGAAGGCGTTAAAGAGAAGTGGACCTAGGTTGCTTCCTTATGGAACACCCGAGGTAGCTGCATTTTTCACAGACTTGAAGCCATTGAGTATAGCATACTGACGCCTGTCAGTATGATACAAAAAGTTGGATGACGGTCATAGAAAAGCCTTACCTGCACAATTTTGACAGTAGTAATCCGTGATCAAATCTGTCGAACGCCTTAGAGAATTCCGTATATATGACATCAGTTTGGAATGTCCTATCAATGGTTTCAGAAATATATTGGGTTACATTGAAAAGGTTGGTGATTGTCGAGCGACCTTTCATAAAACCATGCTGAAGTGGTGTAATTTGATTGTTCGAATGAGTATATAACCTGCTACAGATAAGGATTTCAAAAACTTTGGCGAAGTTGCATATTATTGATATGGGTCTATAATTGCCGACATCAAACTTGTCCCCTATTTTATAAACTGGCCAAAATTTAGATACCTAATTTCCATAGATCTGGGATGGTACTAGTTTTGATGCAGATATTTATTAATATTGTCAATACACGAGTCAAAACACATGCACAATCTCTGACAATCAGTGCAGCGATGCTGTCGGGGAACACTGGAATCTGCCTCTCAATTGCTTTTCTGGTCAACAGTTGAATCAAAATTTATCTGAAATTTCCAATTTCACTTTTGTACAAAAAAACGTTCCTCTTTCGGTTAGCAACATATAAAATAAAATACCTGAATTCATCAAAACCTTGTCCCTCAGAATGATGAAGAAGAAACTGAAAATCATGCTTCTATCTAAGGTAATATTGCGCTGTTAGAGTTGTTTGGTGATTTGTTTTCGTTTGCTATTATTATTTTTTTTTATTGTATTTTTCATTTGCCTGTTATGTCTCCCAGTATGTAGTTTGGCAAGTCCTACACCCGTGTGGGTTAATCTACCATCTACTAATTAAGACTTAGTACTTATTTTAGGAAATAGAGTGAATAATGGAATGAATAGTCGAATTCAAATAAACTAATGTTATATAAAATAGAAAGAACAAATTCAAATATCAGTTCAAATCAGAAAAAAAAATGTGACGAACTTCTGTTCATAACAGCCGTCTGTTCGCACTCTTACATAATCACCGGTAAAAATTAGATATCAATCAGATAGCAAATAACCTTGGGTACCTAATTTACTAGGAATTATGTAAGGTAACAATTCGTCTACATTAATTTAAAAACATTGATCCAGTCGTTAGAAGTAGTAGTCCTAATCATCTACTGATGATGCTAACTTTGGCGTCGTAAGACATTATTTTTATTCTGGTAAGAGTTTTATGAAAGTAAATTTTTTATTTCTTGGCTTCCATTATTGTAATTTTCGTAAAGATCTCTACAAACAAAACTTTTAAATAATAATAAGAAGAAGATAGACGATTAGATATGGCTTTATTTTTTTCTAGGTTGATACTGAGAATAAAATGTGACGACGTGACTGCCAAATATGTCTTGGGACAAAAATACGGAGCTGACCCAGAACAGGAATCTGAAAGACTACTTTCACTGGCCAGATCACTCGATTTGAACGTTATTGGAATAGCTTTTCACATAGGATCAGGCTGTTCCAATTATGCAATTTATTCAGAAGCTTTAGCGGCAGCCAGGCATGTTTTCGATATCGGAAAAAGTTTGGGCTACGTATTCAGATTTCTGGACATTGGAGGTGGATTTCCGGCAAAAAAATCGAATTCTATCGATGAGGTAACGTGGCTTACAAACATTTTACTAGTATTAATTCTGGTGCTAGTACTAGTTCCACTTTTAGAGAAATTTTAAGTTTCTGCTGTTAATTCTGCTGAAAAAATTAATTGCAATACCTCGGCGAAGTTTCTAGTCAATGAAATAGGTGATACTTTGAATTGGATACGTCAGATAGATGATTCGAGGTCGCTGATTTCAAATTTATCCTCTCTTTTTTTTTCAACAGTTCTAGTTTTTGAGATACAGTTATTGACCGTATTTTTGTACTAGTTACACTTAAACTTTAAAAATCGAGTTATTTTTCTATAAATTCAATTTTGATGTGGAACATCAATAGCCGCACGGGAAACTGATTGCTGGTATAGCGACTCATGACGTGGCGACGGGTAGCCATGCGCAAAAGATTGCGCGTTTCTCTTCCAACTAATTCGGCGTTAAGCTCTCTCTCTCTCTCTCTCGCCACACACTGAGCTCGAATACCTATAGTATACTCACTTGTGATAACTATAGTATACATGACCTGTGTATTACTAAATAAATAATTTTTAAGAATAATCAAAAATGAAATATATCTGACAATGATAATTTAGAAAGTGGCACTGAGCAGCCTCCTGCAAGGAAAGCAAAATCACACTACGACACACTATCAAGTCATCGGTAGGTTTATTATATTTTTATATTTCATAATTGAAGTGTGCATGTATCTGTGCATTAAGTTCGCGTATATTTGATCTGTCTCAAGGGTCAGTAAATTAAAAATCTACTCTCATGGTAGACTGAAATTTACACAAGTTTCATAGCATACTTATAATATTTTTGAATTAATTATTAATTCATTTAAATGTCATTCTTATGAAAAATTTGAAAACCGAAATTTTCAGTTCAAAGTAAATGGTGAAAATCTTTCAAAGAAAAGAATAGAGCAATTAACTTCAAAATAAACTCTTCATGAAGATGTGTAGACCTTGCAGAGAAGTAACTTTCAGGCACAAACTGGAAGAAAGAGCCCTCTCGAAACAACTTTCACACAAACATTGAATTACACTTTTTTTCAGTTTGTGTCTGAAAGTTACTTCTTTGCATAATCTACACATTTTTGTAGAGGGTTTATTTCGAAATTAATTGCTAGCTTCCTTTTTTTTTTTGNTAAAGGGTTTATTTCGAAATTAAGTGCTTTCTTCCTTTTTTTTTGGAAGATTTCCACATTTTTTTGTATGAAGATGGAGAAGTAGAAAGCCAAAACCTTTCTGTCCCACAAATTAATCTTTCCTAAAAATATACCCGTTTCATTTTTAACAAGGGTTTCGTATGATTCAAACAAAATATATCAGGAAAACTTAAAATCCTTGTGTCTGAGAATAAACCAAAATAAGATTCCACTCTGAAACTCATAATCATTGTCGAAAATCATTCATCACAATCGTTTCTGGCCCTTCAAAGATCTTGTTCCACTATTGTTACACCAAATAACTATCGAAATACACATGATTTTATTAACCTCATCTAACCAATTCATCGATTACCATAAAAACAAAATTGTTTGAGCTGTTTTCTGGTAGATTGAAAAATTAAGGTTAAATTTTACATTGGAACTACTGCTCCGCTCGAATATTACAATGAATGAAATTTAAATTAATTCAATTCATACCATATTCTGACAAGAATACATGTATTCAACAAATAAGTTAGCTGCTTCTCATACCACACGTCATAAGCCATAAGTAACTTTGATTCATAAAATAAAAATTTATACTTTCAAAATTAAATAACTTTCCAGATGTTTAACACTGCGTATGATGGGAATACGACGTCTAAAACCAATTGACAAAATCAAAACACCATTCGAATTGTAATATTCGTGCGAAGCAGTCGTACCGACATTATTTTTTTACCTCAATTTGTCAATTGACGTAAAAATGGGTACGCAAGTTTCAGGCGTTTTATGGTTGGTGACACTGATATTTGACATATAATATTAAGAGAAGAATTAGGTTGTTAGAAAATTATTTGAATCTAGTTTATTGTGTTTATTTATTTTCAGTTGTGTCCTTTGTTGTTCTTTGGTTTACCACTCCATTTTTGTAAAATGAATAATTGGCAAGGAAAATATTTTGTTTTGATCATTTACTTCAGGATACTGAAGGGGCCTTCAACTAAGCTTTTAGACAAGTTTTCAAAATGCTTTAGTTGAAAGAACATTTTGATTTTTAAAAATCTAGATACTTTCTCCCAAAACACCATATTTCAGGGTATCCCTTGTTCAAAGCCTTCAAGGTTCGTCGTATTTTCGTATATTGGAGTAAAGATGGAATATGTTTAATGGTGAAAGCTGATGTGGACGCCGCAATGACAGTAATATAATGTATTTTGACACTGAAGGAAAAGTGATTGGGGGCATTGCCAGTGTATGGGTAGTAAATCTGGTAGATGGAAACATTTTGCCATTCTTTGGCACCTACTATATTTGATTTAAGAGGAAAAATCATACATTTATGAAGATATACCTTGTACGTCCTAGTCACAATCATGGGGACCAGGGTCTAACACTGTTTGTCCCTTTACATAAGATTGATTTTGTCAAACCAGATCTGTCAAAAAAAATAATAACTCCACTATGAAACAGAGGGCCTTCCTGAAAATGTACTTAGGCAACATTGTGACATTTTTAAAGATTACGGATTCAACTTCTCAGCTGAAGTTATTAAGAGTAATTATTTTCTATCAGTAAAATGGGAAGATATATTACAAAGCAAGCGATTAATATCTAGTAAATTTGGTGATGTTATCGAGTGATGAATGAAAGATTATTACCAAAAGATTATATGTGGCATTGCCCTGCGTAAATTGTGTAATGAAAATGAAAAGAAGGCTGTTGATATATATCTGATAAGGTACCCCGATTGCAAAGCATTCAAATCGGTCTGTGTGTAAATCCTGATATACCATATTTGACAGCTTCACCTGACATATTCATAATGTAGAGAATGTAAAGAAATGGCTTCACTGGTATCAATAAATATATTTCATGGTTGATAATGGGTAGTTGATTTTGATGAGTATTTATAGATGGTGTTCTCTTTGCCAATATCGACTGTAGTATACTAATTCAGTAATTTTATGAAATGAATAAATAATGAAGAAAAGTATATTTCCATGAAGTGTAATAATAAAAGTTCTTTTATCACGTTCTGCTCAGTACAGATGGTGTTGCAGTATTTGGTAATAAACTACAAACAGTCCATATTTTGTTCAAGGATAACATTGGGATGAGCAATTGTTTCTTCAATCCCAACATATTTTTGTGTAGGATAACATTCACATCAGTGTCCTCAAAATAACAAACTTTTGTCATTGTAATACGCAACAATTCCAACTACCAAGTTGTTTATTGATTTCATTTGAAGTATTCATTATTATATAATGAAAAATATAAACTTCACTTAAGTTAGATATAGATGGAAAATGAACAAAATACTAAATTATTTGAACGCGGTAAAATTCAAAGTTTATATATGTCTTCTTCTTAATATTATACATTTGAATATATGTGTTGCTAATCATGAAAATACCATTAACATGCGCAACCCACAAAAGCGCCACCACTTTTATGAGAATGTGGTCAATTGCACAATTAACTACCAGAAAACAGTTCTGACAAAAAATATATTTTTTTTTATGGAAAAAAAGTAAATTTGTTCGGAAAAAAATGAAGCAAGGTAGAAAAACAGTATTATATGTATTCCGGTCGTTTTTTGGTGAAATAATTAACGTGGAAAATAACCAAGAAATAGAAAAAGGTGGAATATGACTAAGAAGAAAGAGTAGTATGATCTTTTGATCTTTGGCAAAGCCATAATTTCGGAATGAATCATGTCCTGCTCATCATTTCACGTAAGTAAAAATATTTTTTTAAATCTTAACTGCCAACATTTTTGACATTTACCGCGAAACAAACGACTACCCAGAACAAAGTTCGGAGATAATTATGTGATGGAATTGCCGATACTTGATGAAAACTCATAACATATTCAAGTGGCACTTTATCGTAAGGTTTTCACTGGAAAGTTTAAAAAACTGCAACACCTGTTTCGCTATACAATAGCTTCCAGAAGCGAAATCTGTTTAATCTATTCAGGCAGATGTTGCGGTTTACAGAACAGCAACAATTGTTTCACTTGAGGAAGCTGTACTTGAATTCGGAAATAATTCTTGCATATTTTTCAGTTTATCAGCAATTCATAGCAAACATTGCGTAGCATTTCTCCAATAAATTGAAAACTGCATGAATCAATAAGGCGATCACTTTTACATCTTTTTTCAGATAGCGAAATATGTGAACAAGGGCCTTGCAGAATACTTTTCAGACACAAACCTGCAAATTATTTCTGAACCAGGCAACTACTTCGTCAACTCAGCTTTCAAACTCGTCTCCAACATACATTCAAAAAGAATTATAACCGAAGCAAGAAAAAACGGTGCAAAAGAAACGAGTCTTCGAATGTACTACATTGATGTCAGTTTATACACAGCTCTAATACCGGTTCTATTTCAAGAATTCTACGAGTGCCGTCCCGTCAAATCCATTCCCAACGCACCCGAATATCCCAGTATTATTTGGGGTCCTACGTGCGACTGTAGTGACAAAATATCTAACGGAGCTGTACCTATGAGAGATATGGAGATCGGAGAGTGGATGATTTTTGAGGAAGCAGGTGGTTACACTCTGTCGATAGCGAGCGAATTCAACGGGTTCCCAGTTCCTGATATACATGCAGTAGTTAATGAAGAAGATTGGTAAGTTCGAAATTCATGTGCATAGGATCACCTTTCCAGTTTTTCAAAAAGTAGGTAATGAACAGGTTAGGAACAAACTGTATTGTTTTTCAAAATAGTCGATATTGAGGTTATTACATTTTTGCATGCGTTTTACAATCTGAAGATAGGAAAAAACTAGCAATGAGTCATCGATTCGATGTTTTTTCACCTTCAAATAATAAATTGTTTGATGTGCTGTATGGGAACTGGAATTTTAATGGCGTTGTCATTTCTCTTTGTTCTGCCGATTTTGTCTGAAACTTTTGGAAAACAAATTGTTGCATATCATTCAGCTTCAACTGTTCTTCGATCCTCGAAATGAGTGATAGCGATATGTCTAGTGAAGCTGAAAAAACTAGCGATCACTTTTTTGGAGACTTTTGGGGAATTCAATTCTTCCCAATTAGTGGATTAATAATTAGAATTTGGTCCATACGAAATTACGAGGTACGAATATATACGTTGACCAGTAACAATGCTGTAAACGGAATTTTTAGTTCCAAGTTGACTTTTTTGAACATTTTCTCACACCATTTTTTTCTTAGGCGTTGACGGCATCGAATGTGATGGTCGTTATCGGTAAGTCATGTCAATACCTTCACGAGCCACCCAGGGAGAATCATGAATTTTCCCAGTCTGTCAGCCATGACAGAAGCATCCCAACTTCAACTAGATAATTTCTCTCTAGAAATATATTTGGTCTAAGTTGGGATCGAACTCACGACCTTTTGATCGAGAGTCAAATCAAAAATCTTTTCAACTCTATATGTATATTATATCTGTATTTCATCTGCTATAACACTCCAGGGGATTGAAGGGAGAAGTAAGGGCGATACCTCAATCATGTTGCGCCCTCACGACCCCGCCGAATGAGGAAGAAAGTGGAGTGCGTCTCTCATGTTGATGGTGAGATATCAGCCGTTGCTCTACAGACTATCAATCAGCTGTGATTCCTTCTGGTATCTCCTGTCTTAACCTTATGTGCCATTTATTGTGAGATTGATATTGAGGTCCATCAAAGATCGCATTCGCTATCGTTCGGATTTCTACCGAACTCTGTTGGTTGACATGTTATTAATTCATTAGGATTTTTGAATAGCAGGCTTGGGAGAATAGAGGTTGATTGGTTTCCAACTTTTTCACAGCTAACAATCTGTTCAATATAACTATATATTTTCAATATTTTCAATGGGAGACAATTTGACCAATGCAGTACTTTTTACTACAAATTCAGTACTTTATTGACCTTCTTTATAAGTTACTGCATAAACTCAGTGTTCTATTTATCAGTAACTTGTGGAATTTAATAATTTTACCTACCGGAAGAACTTAGAAATTGTACAAAATTCATCTAAACGTTTCGGAGGCTAAAATCTGCCTCTGTCTTCAGAAATGTATAAAATTAAATATTATATGCAGTTTTTCTTTTGCTGATTATTTTTATTTCTCAACTTCTTCGACAGATGTCAAAGGAGTTTTGAAATGTGAAATATGTCAATGTTGTTCATTGACTCCGGAAACATTTGATGTAGTACAAGGTGTTATCTGATATTAGTCTGTTGCTATTTCGCCAATATCCATATTTTTCTTCAAGACGGTTGGCCAAGTACTATCCATTTCCAAGGAGCTCATTGTCCCTCCCTAAATATAAAAATATACGCTGATTAGGTATTCAGGTTTACGTCTCTCAGAGTCGGGCAGTCATTCTGGTTTTGTTTCATTCAACTCGACGGATATTCATCGTCTGATTTCAAAACGTGTTCTGACAATTTTATATCCTGTTAATCATCTATTTCTGATGCATTTTCAATGTTCATTCTCACACACTTTCAAGATCTCGAAGTTTCACTAGTGTAACTTTTATCACAAGAACAGAAGGTATCTTATAAATGCAATTTTTTGTTTTTTCTTCTGTGTTCTTGGGTATTGTATGTGTGAGTATAAATCTCAGTGTATCTCCACAAAAAATGACTTTCGTTCAAATTCAGTACATTTTAGACGGATGAATTCAGTACCAAAAATCAGGTTAAAAGAACAACGCTGAACGGCATCGATATTAATCACATGAGTACATCGAAATTCTGTATGCCAATTGGAAATAATCTTTCGTGGTTGTATTCCTCAAAATTGTAAAAAAATTAACTGTCCACTAACCACTTTGTCAATTTCGATTTCTAGGCTGCCAGCTGTTCCAGCGCCATTGTGAAAATATAAAAGACAACCCTAGTATCCTTGGATGTGTTTTGTTGGTGCTATAATCTCATTCCAGATTGAGTCATTCCCGCCAAAAGTTATTCATCCGCTCCATGTTTTGTATTTTGATCGATTAGAGAAAGGGAATAACTTTTGGCGAAAATGTCATATGTGAAATAGGATTAGTGCGAAAAATATAAACCTAATATCGACATGAAAGTTGAAGGTTAAGTGGCATTTACAGAGATTTACAGCGATTAAAATGATACCGTTTGTCTACCTTTCTAAGAAAAGAAAAAACGGTATGAATTGTAAAGAATAATCTCGATCTTCCAAGTTTAATATTGATTACAAATGATTTATTTTTCAGGTTGTTCCTCACGGAAAAAGCACCAAAGCCTCTCAGTAGAGAAAAATTTGTTTCTAGTAAAAATTTAGAAAGCTATTTAACTGGATTAGGAACTCCATGCACATTCAGAACAAATTACTTTTGATTTACTGAATATTTTGCTAAAGACATATAGATAATGAAGAGTTATCAAATTTATGTAAATAATTAATATGTTATCAAACCTGTTTTACATCATTTTATTATTGTTATTTTTGGCCGCATATTAGCAACTAGTTCTTCCAGTTCATTTGTTCAATAGGCAAGAAGGAAATATTGACCATGGATTCCTGTAGATAGCAATATGGTAGGAAGATTTATATAAATAGTATTTGATTGTGAACACTGATGTATTCCCTATATGGGGATTTATGCATTTTTTAGAGATAGAGAGCCCTTACATCGCGTTTCACCATTCTGACAATGACTTTGTCATTCTTCAACATCAACTTTTTGCTTTGCAAAAAATTATTGATCATTGTTCATTGAAAATAATGCCTCAGGAACGCTCTGAAATAATCGATAGATATCTAATCAACAAACCAATGTACACAATTACTGAAACACTGTTGGGTGAAATAAACGATTTCAAAATCTAAACGACATACATTTTGTTTTATATTGTCGAAAACCCCTTTCTCTCTATGAAAAATTTCTCAAATCTGTAGAAAATTCAAGAAATCCAAAATTAAATATGTGCTGATATCAATACAATGGTTTAAAAAAAATTATTGCTATGGTAATTTAATGAATTCAACGGTGAGTCTACCGATTGAACTGATGAATTTATGTATCAGTTTATTTCAAACTTAAGCGGGTTGCTTATGGTTGAAGCAATACATCGAAAATTTTCTATCGAATTCAATTACTTGCTGCCACTGTTCTCGGCTATTGTGTTTACAAAACTAAATCTATTGGCACAAAAATGTTCCTATATTCTATTCTGTGCTATTGGTCTCAGTCACAGAATACCTCTCATAGAATACTCATCANCCTGATTAGTTCAACAGTTGTCAGACAGGTGGAGCCGAATTTCGTTAGTTATTTTTCATTCTCATGGCGACTTTAGTTTAGTACGATTCGATGGTTCGTTTATATTTTGTTTATGATTAAAATCGGAAATTTTTATTAATACGCGCGGTTAATGACTATTTCGCATCTCGCTCTTCAATCGACTTACCTTTGCAAAATGTTTTTGTGTTAAAATGTGTTGTGTTTATGTTTTGAGTACCAAAATAACATTAGGATTTATAACAGAAAGGAGAAATACGTTCTATAAAAAGGTAAGTTTTGTGTTTGTCGATACAGTATTACAGAATTTTGATTTTGTGTGGGAATGCCTAGTTTTAAAATTGGGTAGAAGAAAACTGAAATTCAGGGAGAGCTATTCTTTGAATAGTTTTAGGTTAAGAATGGCATGTATGCGTGGTGGAGAAAATTTTATGGAAAATGCATTTTTTACTTATAAATGAAATGACATTAAATATGCTGGAGGTGGTTATCTCAAGAAAATGCCTATAAATGAATAAATAAAATTTATAATTTGATCTATTTTCTGTACGTTTCATAAAGAGTTTGAAACTTAGTAGATGCTGTATTTTACCTTTTAATAACAATTTTCAAAAATCTGAAAAGACCCTCAATAGAAACGCACACCTAATATTCTCTAACAGACACAAAGCTGTATTTGATTTATTAGAATCTAGAGTTGATTTTTCACACTTGGAACAAGAAACTTGTGAATTGCCAAATTTGAAATTGAAGCATTTGAGGTACCTGAATCCCTGCTAGTATTTTTAAGCATAAACCAATGATAGGAAAACTACTTTAGACAGTGAACAGAGTTGAATTATATGAATATACAAACGTAAATATTATTATTCAATTTACTTGGAATAATATAAGTATGATTTTATCAGCTACATACTGATTTTTCACTCAGTTGGATAACAAGGTTTTTTTTTTCTGAAATTTTCAAATACCTTCGTTTTCCCAGTTACCCAGGTTATATTTTTACTTTTCCATCTTGATACCTACAAAAATATGGGAAACTTCCAAAGAAAGGGAGGAAGCAATCAAGATGGAGACGTAGAAGGCCAAAAACTTACTTCCCAAAAACTGTAATGAGATTTTTTATGTATTTCCAAAATGACATACGGTTTTCCACAAAGCCTCAATAGTGTTTTGAAATGTTTTCAATTCTGATAACACTTTATAATAATTGAGACATTATTAATTTTTGTCCTCCATGTATGTTTCAAGTCTTATCGTTTTGTGCTTGACCAAATGTATTAATCAGATATAAACTACTTGAGCTTCTTAGAATTATTGAATTGTTTTAGAGTCCTTGCCATGTTATGTTATGGGTTATTTGTTTCATGTACCAAAATGGTTTCTAAAGAACTAAAATATTTTTTCGACCTGTAATCTGTAATAGGGTCCATCCGAAAGTATTTCTCTAACTCGTCTCAAAAATGTGTTTTCATCTCAATTTTGATAATAGATCATCTGCATCTTATAAGAAATACTCAATAGGAGGAGGTAAAACAATAGGATGTTGAAACAATTAGTATACTATTAAAATAAGTATTAGCTATACACACTTTTGTCACGACTAAACATTTGTATGCTTCATTGATTCAATCCCAGCCATAGGACATTCATTCAAATTGAATGTGAAATATTTTTTAGCGGAGATTAGTGTTTGAGAAGTTTCTCATAATTTTTTTGAAGAGAGAAGTAGAGAGCCAAAACTATTTTCTGTCAAAAAACGTCCCTTGAAACAATATAGATCAGATTAGGATTTTGATGTTTTGAAAAGAAGTATTTTCTAGAAGTTCATTATACTTAAGTATATGAAATAACAATAAATTATTTTTAAAGTATAGTAAGAATTATTATGACAGAATTAAAATTACAATCATTCCAAAATAATGATTTATTCTTCAAGAAACTAATTAGATACTTTTCTCATTCTATACCTTCATTGAAATTCGTTTCATTTTTTCTAATGATGAACATTTTCGAAAAATCCATTGCAATATACAAGTTGTAGCACAACAAAATGAAGAAACAATGCAAAATGTAAATATGGCCTCATATAAAAATACTATTTAAAAAAAATTCATAAGATTCTTCATCTGCTTGTCTACTCAGTTATGCAGAAGTTTATATTTTAGAAATTTTGTNTTTATTCATTTTTTGTTGATTGTTCAATTTTCAATTTTTTGCTTGTATTTTATTTGACTGTTATTTCATGTCAGGGTTTTTTTTGCTTAATATAATGGTTATTTTCAGTTATTCTTTTTAATTTTCAATTGTATCAGTTCTTTCAAAGATTTCAAATCATTTTATATCATATTAGACAATGGAAGTCTAATGAAATTCATCATGAAACATTGTCAACCACCTTCAAACAAATCTTTCACAGACATTGCCTTAGGTAATGACTCGACACATCCGCATCAACATAAAGTAGCAGCTTTCAATAGTATGCTTTGCAGACTATTGAGTATTCCACTGTCAGAAAGTAATTTTCAGAAAGAACCGAATTTTATCAGTCAAATCACTGTTAACAGTTACATGGTAAATATTATTGTTGGAAAGTTCAGAGTTTATTGTGGTTCTTGCCCAAAACTTTATATTGGACAAACGGCGAGAACCTTTTCCCAAAGAATGACAGAACATGGGAGTAGAATCCACATTTACAAACCATCATTTGACAGAGGGTATGAGCTCAACCACCACTGTGAGAAGTATTAAATTTGGAAGAGAACAGAATTAATATATTTAAGAACTCTGATAATTTTCCAAATGAATTGAATTCTTCTCCCCTTCTAAATCTGTTTTCTAGTGTGGAAATTAGTAGGTACTTTATTATATGTTCATGCAAAATCCTAACGTTCTTGCGTAAACAACATCCAATTGCCTACAGCTACAAAATAAGTAACATTTTTCTTGAAAGATGGTTCAGCTTCAAAGACTTGGGTGTAATATTTGACAGTAAACTCACGTTTAGTGAACATATTAACAAAATTGTAATGAATTCAATGAAATTACTCTGTTACTGTATACAAGTATTCTACTTAAAAAATAAACACTTATTTATTTGCATGCTATTTGTTGAGCTTTAATTAATTAATTTCAATGATTTGAAAAAATTTAAAAAATTATTTTTTTTTGTCAGAATAGGCGAATCCCTCTAGATAATCGTCAGATTATATGACAGCACGTCTATAACATAAAGACGAACCATATATATCTTAATCTGAAGCGCTTGAGTGTTTTAAAATGGAGAATTTTTTTTGCACATTATAATAATGGCCGCGAGTTTTCGTCAGATCGAAATCGTCAGATTATTGAAAGACAGCTTTTTTTTGTTGCACTTAACACCCCCTTAGAAAATCTGACGCGCTCAATTAATTTTTTTTTCTTTTCGCTTTTAACCCTTACGTACAACCACCCGCATCATGCAAATGATCAGATTAACATACGAACATTATTAAAAATACATAGGACATTGATGCTATCAATATCTGACGTGCTCGAGTATGTCCATGCAACAGTATTTTTTACATATAGTGGCAATACTAACATACAGGCATACCATTTTACTTTACAGACAGAATGGACAGGCACAGCAGAAAACGTTGAACCAAAATAACAGTAGTAATAATGAAAGTGGAGTAACAATCACTAGCATTTCAAAATTCTGGCCGAAATGTCAAATTGTAAATTTGAATGATGTGTGACAACTCATGAACAAGAGAACCGTGATTTTGAATTGTAATTAGAATAACATATCAGCCTAGCTGATTGTCTTACAGGGCGTTCTTGNCGTCATTTCGACATTCTCGAGCGTAGCTAATTTTTTTTTTATTTTGAAGGAAATAATTCAAGGATAACGAAAAATATATAATCTGACCATTTCCGCAAACCGAAATAACAAAAATTCGTCGATAAAGTTTAATGCGTGCAGCTGTGTGATATCTATATTTCCCTCTCCGAGTTTCTATTCCCCCTTCACTTTTTCTCTATCTATTAGTTTCTCACTCCGTCCCCACTCTGAATTCTGTTGCCATGACGCCATCACAGCTTATCACAGAAACTCGTTCGTGATGAAAATGAAGATGATGATTAATTAGTCAATTGATTATATAAAATTAAATTTTGAAGTCATGTTACGGTGACCAATAGAATGTGAGGATGGTTAGAAGAGTCGTGTTGTCAATGTTCAGTTCAGGAACTGATCGCGATTTGTGTGTTGAAATTCTATATTGATGAGGTTATATAATTACTTGAAATTTTTGTTATTACAGAGAGTATGTTTCAATGTATATAAGAATGTACATATCAAGTTTGGTTTCGAGGGAAAAAAAACTATTACAAGCAACATCAGGTTTGACCGAAATTCCTTTCTCAACTGTACGTAAAATAGTCAAAAATAAACCTTATGAACGCAGACGCAATTTGATGCGGGATTATCAAAACCTTTAGATGTTCATCTAATAAAATCATAAAAAAAAAACAATATACGACTGTTACGAAAGCAATGAGATTCATACAATTGAAATCATAAGGATGTTCCATTCTCATTTAAACTCAC